CAAATAAAGGCAGTTCCATCGCAGGCTGTGCCCGTGTAAACACAAAAGTGATCATACCATACAAACCAATGACGCCATTCAAAGCATGGAATACCACAATGCTTCCTCACTGCTAACGTTCAGGTACAGGCACTCACATAGAAATGGAAATATAAGCAAATACATATCCATCTGCTTTGGGATTTAGCAACTTGTATCCCTGAGAGATTCGCTCTCTGTGATATGTTTTTTTAACGAAGTTCTTGATCCTAACTCCTTTTGTACTTAACATCTACTGACAGAAAATCCCACTTACCTAGAAAGACTGCATATCTAACAAGTCTACTGGATAAATGGCAGTGACAGTGAACCCAGGGGTGGCAAAACAGGGGCATTCCATTTCCTTATGAGGTCCCAGTGAGCGAGAATCACTGTCACAAATGCTCTCATGTCAAAATATAATTGACTTATTCCAACAGTGTAGAGCACTCACGTGTTTCCACTGACCGGGCTCTGGATTCTCAAGCAAAAACTCTGCTGTCCTGCCTGCTCTGCCCAGGATTTCTGACCTCGCCCCAGCAAATAACCATCTTATTAAACGTCAACTCGGCTCACTTCGACCATCTTTACAGGACAGGGGTCGCAGGGGGTATTTGTAAGTTGGACAAACGCACTACGACTGTAGACCTTCAGGAATAAGATGAAAGAACAGCAGGAGGCTTTAAAGTTCAGTGGGTGAATCAAAGGAAAGTGCGTTCCATTATTAAAAGACTGGATCATTTTAGTATGCATTCCTGCACATAATCAGTCAGTTGAGGGAATGCAGAGCTACAAATAGCTCAGCCAATTGTTGTTCCCATAGCTGAATAGCTGAGGAGAGCACTTTACAACTGACAGCCCTGAACCTTTCTGACAATGGGGATGGGTCAGATGCAGACAATAACCATTACCACAAATACATGTTTTTCAACTCAAAGACATGCAATTTATCATTTAAAGGACCAAAGTAGTAGTTTTCTATATTTTACCTATGAAAATCATAGCATGCTTCAAGTAGGTAATCCACCACTTTTACTCTTTATCATTGTTACTGTACATTAGCCATGCAGGGTATGACCTAATTGGGATCAGGGACCATTTTGCAAAAAAAAATGGGGGTGTTTTTAAGTATGCTGCAACATCCAAGACTCCAGTATGAGTTTACAAATCAGTGTTTCCTGGCAGCTGCAGTACCATTTGACAATAACAAGGCTGGGCATGAATATCATAATATTATTAGCCTATATATTTGCCTCAATTATCATAAACTGGTCGGTGTATAAATACAATATATGCAAAACCTTCATTCAGCATTAAAGGTCATTACTCTGCACACTCTTTGCTTTGAGTGAATATGTGGAAAAACAACAAAACTAAGTAGAAGCAGGTGACTAAACTGCTCTGTCATAACCTGAAAACAATGGCCGTCTGCACTGTAACTCAACCTAAACAGATTACACTGTCACTATCAGTGCTGACAACACCTTGCAGGTAAGGTTTGTCCATTAAAGGCAAAGGTCACTACAACAAGGGCAGGCACTCTTCGTGGGCAAGACAAGGACTGACTGTACTCTGGCTGTTACTCAAGTTAAGCCACAGCAGATTGCCGACGCAAGGCAATTAGGAAGCACTACAGTAAAATGGTTCTACATATCATGCAGGCAGTTGTGAAAACTGACACACCTCTGCCTGTTCAAAAGTTCTCCATGGCCAGACCATTACTTTGCTATATGACAGTTTCCTTTGAGTGCCTCAACTCTGAGAACTGGGCTGAATTTTGCTTGAAATGGAAAACATGGCACATTCTGACTGGGGCAGTGGGACTGTAATTGGAGGTGAAAGAGCAAAAAATGTAACATAAGCAAGTTACGTTTCACACTAGCAATTTTATTCCATTGCTTCTTTGCCACACAGCACCATTAAGAACGGGGTTAGTTGTAATGAGCACCTCCTTCAGTTAGTCAACACAGATATTGTTGTGAGATGAAATCTAATTTGAGTGGCAAATACTGGCAGGCGTTACCCTGCAAATATGATTTTAACCCCCTAGTTAGCCTATGTTATGTATTTAATAAAGCATTTCTTCATCTGTAAACTAGCTCGGAGGAGGTACAGTTCATTTTGCCCTTTCGTATCACAGCAACCTACCACATGCACTGTACCACTTACAGCATTGTTGATTCAGCCATACCAGCTTATTCAACTGATATTGTAAATCACTTAAAAATAACAGCATCCACCCTAACATGTACATGCAGCGTTCACACAGTCAATCACTGTCCACAATCCTGGTTTACTAGACTTGTGGTTTCCTGTAATTACTCTTATTACAGATTTAGAGTCCAAATAGCAGATGAAAGAGGGATCAAAACACAAAGAGGCCAACGCACCCCAAGTGTCAAAGTAAGAACAAAGACAGAAGGCCTTTATGCATCTCAAATAGAGGCAAAGCCCTTGTAAAACAAGTTCCAACATATCAACTCAACAAGTCTAATTTACCAAATAATTACAGACTTAACCACTTAACGACCAAGTGAAAAAAGCAACTAGCAATTTCTATTCAATATTTTGAATAAATTTATAAACGCACCATTTCCTCTATGCTAACTTTCAGAATTATTTGATGCAAAACACAGATCGTTGACAAGAGAAAAACTCGTATGGACAATACTCAGACCCTTTATGTCAGTGAGCTTTCCCCTCACAATGTCAAGAATTCTGTCTGTTAGAGGCCTGCCTAGAGCACAATGATTAGGGAAGGGGCAGCCCATCCAGATAAGGCGTTCTCCTCTCCAAGCAGGATTTATTTAGGGGGTGAAGATAACAGCAACAGGGTTGGAATACTGTGCTCAATGGGCCAGCCCAGAGCTGAGTGGCAAGGTGTAGGCCAAATGTCCCCATCACGCAACACAGACCAGGCTTCCATGGGAAAAAAAGCATAAGTCCAACAGCGCTATACTTCAAATGGAAAGCAATGCCAGCTCAAGACTCAGGTACAGAAACATGGCCAGTAAAAGGCTTGCATTGTGCATTCTGATGGAACCTATTACTCATAGCCGAGCATGTTGGCTGCTTTATGAGTTAAATGTCCTGATTCACGGCCTTCAGAAACATGAGTCTTCAGTCCACATAATTTTGGTTTATGGGTAGAGAGAAGAGCCCACACCCAGCTACCTCAGAGCTGCCTGCCTGGTCTCAACTCTCTCCAGACGTGCAGAATGGCTTTGGGACACACAGGGAACTCCGGGCCAGTCAAAGACAAGAGGTTATTTGATTAGCATGGAATTTTATTAAGCTGTGGGTGGAGTTGCATGGTGGCAGAGAGAGCCTCAGCAAAAGGCCTCCATTCATTGATCAGGCAAGACTGCAGAAAGGGGAAAAAAGAGGAACAACACCCTTGTGTGTGTGGCTGCCAGCAGGAACAGTCCCCGCAGCTTTTTGCCATTAAAAATGCAGAGCGTGTGCACTTTTAGGTGAGTTTAATTGCCTCTTTCTGCAACAGGATGGGAGGTCAACGAGACTAAGCAAGTTTTCTTTTGAAAAGACAGCTATCTACAGCAGCCTATACACAAACACTTCAAGTTGGGTGTGTGGGTGGGGTTTTAGGACAAGCCCCTTTCCCAAAATAGAGTGCTTCCCTGATGTTCCTTTGCTTAGAAAGTCAGTCTGTGTGCTAACACGTCCCATATCATACAGCCAAGATACAGGAGTCATTAATCAAACAGAGTTAACCTGGTGTGAACAACCCCTGAATGAGTTAAGGCGAAACTACTACTTGAATGAGTTACAGTGAAACTACTACCTGACTGAATTACAATGATACTACTGTAAATGCACTCAGAGCTGCCAGTCATTCCTTTTAGACTCAAGCTGTGAATCCAAAGCAAAAACTCAGTCATATCTACAAATACGAAACTTGTTGCCAAGGCATATCCCTGGAAATCCAGGCCAAAAAGTTCAATCCAATCACATGGCTCTTAGTTTCATCACACTAAACATCTGAGCGCAACTACTCCCATGAGTCACTAAGAGCCCAAAACCTTGTGAAAACACTCAGTGCCACTGTCATCCAAGCTGAGAGGATTCTGATAGCAACAAACACTTGACACAACAACATCCCCTTGGCATCCACTCCATGGTGAGTCAGTTCCTGGGATTGCCGCATGTAATAAAAAACCTATGAAGGTGTTGCTTTAGGGGTTAGCACGTGGCAGCAGCCGCCTTCTTTCCTCAGACAGCAGAGTCACTTCATGAATCGTCACCCATAGACAGGAAGCAGCCTGGGCGAACTCCAGCCAGCAGGTGTACTGATGCAGCTGGAGGCCTGCAGGTTACAACAGGCTTGCATGCAACACTATCACTTCAAATAGGGCTCAGATCAGTCAATCTAGACAAAACAGCACACCTAACCAATGATTTCCTTGTGATTTAAAAGCGCACACTGGTGACACCAGACAGCATTATCAGTTTGTAGTGGGTGGAAAGGAAACTAGTACAAGTAACATGATTTCTTTTACCTTGCCTGAGCAAAAATAACCTGACAAAGTGTGTGTGTATCGTGGAGAGCAGACACACGGTTGCCATCTGTCAGTCTAGTTCAGTTACCATTGCTTTTTAATTAGTTATTGAAGCTACTTCAACGGGTGCTGACAGTAGATCGCTGTTAAACATCAATCTTACTGCTGGAAATTAGAGATCCATTGTTTTTAACTGCGAGTTTATGATTGCAGGATACCAGAGCTTCAAAGTGTTGGTTGTTTTCCTTCCGCAAATCCTTAATATATATACGATTACACACGGGTGTTTGAAGATGAATTAGTGCGTGAGGCAAACCGGCCTGTCGGCGTCAATATCGGCACATTCCTACAGTGACAATTGAGACGACTTGTTGGTCTCGGAAAGAATTTCTGCTCCAAGGAGTAGACTGACCCCGAATGGTTGCCTCGCTAGCTGCCTAGCCAGGTAGCAAGCTACAAACTTACCAGAAGACAATCCGTGTTTACTTCTGACTTTGGGTCCTTCAACATGGCATCGATTTTTTCAAACCGAGCCGCCATACTTTCCCCAGCAGACATTTCTGCTGTTAAACTCAGTCCCGGTGTTGGGTCGTGAACAAAAACAGCTCACTGGCGAGGCAGAAGGCTGGCTAGCTAGCTTTAGCAGCCAGCGGTAGCTAGCTAGCCAAATGTTCCTTTCTTCGTGTGGACTTTACACCGCACTTCAAAGAAAATACATCGTTCTCCTCGAGCTCTCACAGACGATGAAACGTTTAAGGTTGCGTTGAATGTACAAAAGCCACATTTTCAGAGTCCAAAGATGTTTTCCCAGTATAAGAGGCAAACAACTTCAGTGGCAAAAGATAAATGCGGCGACAGATTAGTCAGCCTCCGCAGGATGCCACTGAGGATAAGGGCTTAAAATGTTGGTGCATCCAAACAAAAGGCAATTAAAAGTTAAATGTAACGTCTGTTTGAAAAGCACAGTTTGAGGGAAGGTTAGTCCAGGCCCGTCCCCATAGCTGTGCCGGGCCCTTGCAGAAAACGACAATAGTTTCTGACAGCTCAAAAGTAGAAGTGGTGGGGAAAAAAAACTTCTGCTTCTTCCAAATTTCGACCAGTTTAAACACGGAGTCGTTACAACGTTTAACGGCAGTCCTTCCGCTGCGTCCCGTGCACTGTCACTGACTGTCGACTGTTTCCCGTCCTCGCTGCTTTAGCTCTCAGACGATCGAAGGCAGATAAACCGGGTTTAGATGTGTATTAGTTTTCGGAAAAAAACAGCAGACGATGCCCGATTTTCTCCCACAGTCTGACCAACATGTCCGCCTTCCTGTTCAAACACCCCGGAGAAGCAACTTCAAAATGTCAAGTACTGCGCATGCGCCCTGCCGAGGCGCATTCAAAGCAAAGAGTTCACAGAGCGATGATGGCAACATGTTGCTGTTCCGAAATGTTACAGCGTTTAGTTAGCGTCTCATTGAAAAGCTACAGTCAGAGGGAGGAGAACAACACAATTAATATTTGCAGAGAGGGTTTCCCAAAGTTTAATCTTTAATTCTATTATATTATGTGAAATTATCCACATGGGTCACAAATGCTTATGAGTCATAATCATGCACAGGGCCTCTCATAAGAGGGAGTAAAAAGGGTAAAGCTTTTGGGGGGCCCAAACGCTTTGGGGGCCTAAATATAAGCAATAAAAAGCAAATTTTACTTTAAGCATTTTTTTTTTTTTTGTAGGAAAAAAAACACTGGACATTTTCAGAGACCCAGCCATTTTTGTGGGCAGGCCTTGGCAGATTTATTGTATTGTTTTGTATTCTATATTCAATATTATTCAGTAGCTGAAATTATCTACATGCTTTATGGACCATAATAATGTACAGGGCCGCCCAAAAAGGGGTGAAACAGGAAAGCTTTTTTGGGGCCCAGGCGCTAGGGGGCGCTCATGGAGGCCAACAATATGTATTAAACCTAAATAAAAGCATTATAAACCGAATTTGACTTTGAACCAAAATATTTACCATTACTTATTAAAACAACAAATATAAACATTTAATGTTTCTTTAGTAAAATATAGCCTGTTTCATAATGATATCATAATATATATTTTTTATTTCTTTTATTTTTTATTTTTTATTTATTTATTTATTTATTTTTTGCAAGGGAAAGGGACCTTTTCAGAGGCCCAGACATTTCTATGGGCAGGCCTAACATTATGCACATGTGTTACAGATGCGTACAGACCATATTCATGAACAGTGTCACCCATAAGGGAGTAAAAAAGGGGAAAGCTTTTGGGGGCCCAGCCACTTAGGGGGCCTAAATATAAGCAATAAAAAAAAAAATTACTTTAAGCTTTTTTTTTTTTGGTAACTCTTGCAAGGAAAAAACACTGGACCTTTTCAGAGACCCAGCCATTTTTGTGGGCAGGCCTGATTTAATGTATTGCATTGTGTTGAATTCTATAGTCTGTAGTCTATATTCTATACTATATTATATTATATTCAGTAACTGAAATTATCTACATGCTTATGGACCATAATAATTTACAGGGCCGCCCATAAGGGGGTGAAAGAGAAAAGCTTTTTGGGGGCCCAGGCGCTAGGGGGCGCTCATGGTGGCCAACAATATCATATTAATCCTAAATATAAGCAATATAAACCGAATTTGACTTTTAATGAGTAATGGGAAATATTTTGGTTCAAACAACAAATATAAGCATTTAATGTTTCTTTAGTAAAAATTGCCTGTTTCATAACGGGGTAAAAAGTGGAAAGTGTTTTTGGGGCCCAGCTGCTAGGGGTGAGGGGGGCCTGGGGGCCAACAATAATCATGTTCAAATAAATAGGTTTTTTGTTTGTTTGATTGATTTTGTAGTTGTTGTTCTTTTTTGTGTGCATAGATATTGATCATATATATTCTATAGCCCCTGCAGTGTCCATTAAGATCTTTAGTAATGGATATTTATTTGTAAGAGTCATTCACCATGAGCTAATCATCTTTACTATCTTATACTGCAGTGATTTAAAAGTTCATCCTCAGATCACAGAGATTTATCCCAGCAACTCTCAGTTTGTAGTTTTCTTTTCTCATTTTGACACTAGGAAAAATTAGATTAATTCTAATCCAGGGTAATATACTAACATCATTTCCAAATAAGTTTTTAGTCCATGTGTCCTATGACTGTCTGTCACAGTTAGTTCTCTGAATGAACAAATGAAGAACAGGAAATGCTTCTAGGATGTGATGCTCCCTTGAGAGTGGTAAATGTCAGCTGGTCTCATGTGTGGCTTATTTCTCTTTTATATCTATTATTTGCAAAAGCTGCACTTTTTTGTTCCTATTTTAATGTAACCCTTTAATAATGATATGAAATTAGCAACTGTGAGGACTTTATGTGTTTGTTGTCACTTTCTCCTTTAGTCCTTTTCAACAGTGATCCTCTCCCAGTCTGTGTCTATTCTGCACTTCACCCAACAGAGGGCGGTGTTGTACAACTTTTATGACGAGAACTCACTTGTGTTTGGAAACTTTCGGCCTATGATGCTGACATTAACTGTACTGAAATGTCTTAACCTCTATCTGCTGTGTAAATTACACATTGTATGTATACTAGTTATATACGCAAACAAATTACTTTATTGTAAAGATGGTTTGTGTGTAACCTGTGTAAAGGCAGCTGAACTTAATGCATCAGTTTTATATTTCTGCCAATAGAGGGAGACGTTGTAAGCTTAGAGACTGTAGAAATACTTGAGGTTGCTTCATGAGTTGTGTAATTACAATTTTCATATGCAGTTGAAACAAAAATGTGTCTTACAGGTTGACTAATAAGAAGAATAAGAATGTTGTGTGTCTATTTATGTAGAAAATATGCATGTATTATGTATGTTAGGGGTGGGAATCACCACAATCCCCCCCAATACAATATTATCACGTTACAATATTATTGCTATTTTGAATGTTTTGCAATATGCTAAGTATTGTGGTGACATATCCTGTGGTATATTGCAATATAATTACATTTATTCCCCTTTTCAAGTGCAAATTAAGGAAAAACTTCTGCTTTTATCTAATAAGATAGAGCTTCAGTCTGTTCATCTCACTTTAATCATTTTGATTGCAGGAACATGTGTGTTGTGGAAAAAACAATTGATTCTATATTCTAGTAGGCTACCAAAAGTTTAATTTGTATTTGCAATAATTATAATTTAAAAAATTAAATATTAATACTTGGCATTTCTATATTGATGCATTATTGCCACCTAATATATTGCTATACTATACTGTATACATTTTTCCCCTGCCTCAAATGTATGTATGTATGTAGGTATAGGAAGGTACAGGTATGAATGCCTACATAATATATCCTCATATACATATGTCTTCATATGAGGACATCACATTTTGGCTTTATTTATACATCATTGTACTTAACTTAGACCTGATGTCCTCGTTTGCGGACACTTTTTGTGCCATCTAGTGGTAGTAAGAGCACAATACACTCATACATGTAAAAACAAGATGGCAGCCATCTCTGCCAAGTCAGTCTGCTGCTGATCAGAAGTGGACAAGGTCCAAAACCTGATCACATGTTATGGTTGAAACTTGTGTATTCATAATTAATAATGTTTGTAGCTTGATATGATATGGCAACAAGTTTGACCAACTTTAGCAACAGTAACAAGCTAAGACGCTGTTCATTAGGAAATACTCATGTGAAGACATTTGGACTTTATTGTTGTCTTGTTTGAGGACATTGGGACGTAGTCTCATTTGAGGACATTGGGACTTTGTTGTTGTCTCATTTGAGGACATTGGGACGTAGTCTCATTTGAAGACATTGGGACTTTATTATTGTCTCATTTGAGGACATTGGGACTTTGTTGTCTCATTTGAGGACATTGGGACGTAGTCTCATTTGAAGACATTTGGACTTTATTGTTGTCTTGTTTGAGGACATTGGGACGTAGTCTCATGTGAAGACATTGAGACTTTATTATTGTCTCATTTGAGGACATTGGGACATAGTCTCATTTGAAGACATTGGGACTTTATTATTGTCTCATTTGAGGACATTGGGACGTAGTCTCATTTGAAGACATTGGGACTTTATTACTGTCTCATTTGAGGACATTGGGACGTAGTCTCATTTGAAGACACTGGGACTTTATTATTGTCTCATTTGAAGACATTAGGACGTAGTCTCATTTGAAGACATTGGGACTTTATTGTAGTCTCATTTGAGGACATTGGGACTTTATTGTTGTCCCGTTTGAGAGCGTTGGGATGTAGTCTCGTTTGAGGACATTGGGACTTTGTTATTGTCTCATTTGAGGACATTGGGACGTAGTCTCATTTGAAGACATTGGGACTTTATTATTGTCTCATTTGAGGACATTGGGACGTAGTCTCGTTTGAGGACATTGGGACTTTGTTATTGTCTCATTTGAGGACATTGGGACGTAGTCTCATTTGAAGAGATTGGGACTTTATTGTTGTCCCGTTTGAGAACGCTGGGATGTAGTCTCGTTTGAGGACATGGGGACTTTATTATTGTCTTGTTTATCGACATTGGGACATAGTCTCATTTGAGGACACTAGGACTTTATTGTTGTCTCATTTGAGGACATTGGGATGTAGTCTCAATTGAGGACATTGGGACTTTATTATTGTCTCCATTGAGGACATTGGGACTTTACTATTGTCTCAACTGAGGACATAGGAACTTTATTATTGTCTCAATTGAGGACATAGGAACTTTATTATTGTCTCAATTGAGGACATTGGGATGTAGTCTCAATTGAGGACATTGGGACTTTACTATTGTCTCATTTGAGGACATAGGAACTTTATTGTTGTCTCAATTGAGGACATTGGGACTTAACTATTGTCTCATTTGAGGACATAGGAACTTTATTGTTGTTCCATTTGAGGACACTGGGCTGTAGTCTTGTGTTAGGGCAGTGGGACTTTATTATCATTAACAATGTTTAGTTTTTTTTAATTTATTGGTTCCTACTGATCCCAAATAGCTAGGAGACATTAAAAATGTACACCAAACAAAAGTTCAGGTCTCAGTGAATAAATAAATCATACATTATTTTGACTTTGTTTGCAAGTTTGATTTATTTGTTTACTTTATTTGTTTGATTCCCTTCCTAATTCAGCCATTTTTACTGTCTGTCCATTGAATAATATAGTAGTGTAGTAGGCTGTAACCAGCGTCTCTGTGTTCGCCTGCTCATATTACGTCACAGTTAAACTTAATTTTGGTTGGTTTACCGGTTAATTCGCCAGTTAGCTACGTGGATAAGTTTGTGTTTCCATCCTCTAACTGAACCGCT